TATCCAAGAAGATTAACCAAAAAAACAGATACAGAGCAGATAACATGCAAACGAGATGCGCGCGAAAAAAAAAAAAAACACGAGAAACGAAGTGGTGGAAAAGGAAGAGCAATGATCACAAAAGCCAGAAGAACGAAAAAAAAAAGGAGCAGAACAAGAGTCAAAACCCCCGACCACTCACTTATCACTATCAATAATACTCCCAATACTCAACACATTCTTCTTCCCCTTCTCACCACTTCCCCCATCCCCTGCTCCCTCTTTCCTCCCCTCATCAGACTGTAACCGTATAACAGCAGGATGCGAATGAGATCCTCTCCCCTGCCCATGCGCAGAAGACACAGAATGCGTATGCGTATGATGTTGCCCAGAAATATTAGGTATCCCTCCTCCCCTCATAGGCGGAAGCTGAATCTTATCCGCCGCAGCTTGAGCTTGCGCTTGCGATTGCGGTGGCTGATACTGATGATATCCCCCGCCTTCCCATGCTCCTCCACCTCCACCTCCCCACGTTTCCTGACTCTGTGAACTAGAACTCCCCCCCTGATACCCTCCATACCCTCCATACCCAACACCCGGTTGCACACCGCCACCACCGCCACCACCAGTATACCCTCCTCCATACTGCTGCTGCTGCGGAGGATGAGGCGGCACCGGAGGAGGTGGAGGCCCATACTCAGCATACCCACCACCACCACTCGCACTTCCCCCCGACGTAGACTGTCCTCCCGCCGTCTGTTCATAATACCCATAATACCCAGGTGGTGGCGGTGGCTGATGATACTGCTGCTGCTGCTGCTGTTGCGCCGGTTGCTGCTGTGATTGCTGCTGCTGCTGCTGAGGTTGAGGTGCTTGCCCTTGTCCCTGCGGAGGTTGACCTTGCCCATGAGGCCCAACTCCAGGTTGATGTTGCTGCTGCGGCTGATACATCTGATGAGGTCCAGGCGCCTGTTGCGGCTGCTGAGAATACGGCCCACCATAAACGACATGTTGTGTCGGAGAATGCTGTTGATGTTGATACGCTTCAGGCGGCGGCGGCGGCGGGTGTACATACGTACCCATCGAAGGATGAGTGGGTGGTGGATGTACACCCCAATGAGGTGGTGGCCCATACGGTGAATACCCACTCGTCTGCTGAGGTTGTGGTCCGTACGGATGATGAGGATGGTGATACTGCGGGGGCGGCGGCGGCCCATACGAATACTGAGGATGCTGAGGATGGTGACCCAAATGCGAAGGCGGAACTGGAGGTGGTGGCATCCCACTCATCGTTCCAGGTGGGGGTGGTGGAGGTCCAACATGATGAGGATGACTCAACACTGGCGGCGGTCCATACGCGTTCGGCGGTGGAGGATGTGGAGGTGATTGCGAATGCGAATGTGTTTGTGGATGCTGAGGGGGTTGAGATGGCGTTGGTGCATGGGACTGATACTGAGCGTTCGGTTGCTGCGGTTGCGGTTGCGATGGTGGTGGTGCTTGAGATCCAGGGCCTTCAAACGAATGATACGACAGTCCAGTATCAACATTCGCAGGAGCACCTCCACCAGACGTAGCACCATCCGACGTCGAATTCGGCGTTGGCGTAGCCTGCCCACTTCCACTAGAAGGGGGCGCACTTAAAACCGTAGCCCCAGGAGGAGGCGGTATCCTGACCGACGAAGCATCAGCAGGCGGTGCAATAGCCGCTCCTACAAAACAAATTCAGTGACGCCAGAAAAAACCTAACTCAATAACTCACCAGGAGGCGGTGGAATAACGCCACCAGCAGCACCAGACCAAGAACCCGGGCCATCCGTATACCCCGTCCCCGTACTCGGTGGTTGAAACGAAACACCACCAACCGTCTCCTTATCATCCAACTTGGACCTCTTAGCCTCTCTCCTAGGCAACGCAAACCTTGCCTTATCCCTCTCCTTCTTATCTCCTTTCCTCTTTCCACCACCACCCTTCTTCTTCCGTCCAGAACCAGTCATAAAACCCCGTTTCCCCCTCCCATGCCCACCACGCTCCTCATAATCCGAATCATCATCATTATCATCCTCCTCCCCTTCCTCCTCTTCACTCTCCTCCTCATCAACATTCATAACACTCTCACTAACACGTCTCCTCCTCTCGCCTTCACCCCCTTCACCATCACTTTCACTTCTCCCCATCGTAACATCCGTCGTCGCCGTCGTCGAACCAGGAGGCGGAGGTATCGTCTGAGCAGAAGGAGGAGGATGAGGGTGCGAACCATACCCACCACCAACAGGTCCTAAAGGCTGTAACGGTCCACCACCAGGAACACCACCAGGAGGAGCACCCATCGAATTGATCGTAATCATCGTAGGCGGTGGCACATGCTGATGCTGCTGCTGTGGCTGATACGGCGGTGGTGGATGTCCATGTCCATGTCCATGTGTCGGTGCAGGCGGCGGCGGCGGATGTCCATGGACAGTCGGATACCCCCAATACGGAGGTTGCGGTGGAGTTATACTCCCGTACTGTTGAAACCCGTGCAATGGGCGTGGAGGTGGTGGTCCCGGAACAGGTGGTGGAGGAGCAGCTAAATGTTGAGAAGGTAACGGTATCGTCCCAGGTGGTGGTGGTATCTGCTGATTAAACTGAGGTTGATGGCCAACAGGCGGAAACGCCGAATACGTAGGTGTACTACCCCCAACAGTAGACGACGAAGACGGTGGTGGTGGTGGTATAGAAGTTGGTGTAACTCCCATCGGTGGTGGTGGTGGAACCTGAACAGGTCCAGGAGTAGGTAACGGTAACGGTGTCGTCGTCGAAGAAGAACCCGAACCAACAACGTTGGTTTTCCCTTGCTCCTGCGTCGAATTCGTTGTCCACGCTGACGAACCCGATGAGGTCAAAGTTGAAGGTTGAGCAGATTCGATTTGGGCAATAGGCCGTTTCCGAACTCGAATGTCCTTTCGTATCCGGATTTTGATTCCTTGGTCGGCGAGGGAACATGATAGCGGCGTGGATTCTAAAAGTGGTGTGATCAGTAGGAGCGGAAGGTAGGTGGGGTGAGCGTACCCTCCATTCCAGGGAACTTTTTGGCTGTATAGACATAAAACGGAGCGGAGAATATCGATTTGCAATGTCGAACGGTGTTCCTAATGGAACAGAGTTTTGTCAATGATGGTAGCTGGGTGGGGGGGAATTGGAACATACCCAACGACCTCGAACAAGCTCAACTTCAACCGATAACTCCCTTCCGTCCTAACGCTGAGATCAGGGAAAACGAAGAAACCGGCATCTTCATTATTCCTCTGAGGATCCTTGAGGTGATAGAGCGACGATACGACAGATCCAGTCGTGCACCTCGTACGTCCATCCTAAAAAGAGAGTCAACGAAAGAACGACAGAGGAGATACAAGTGGGTCAAGACCTTGAGCCAATGCAACTCCACGTCATCATCCGGCTTTGCCAAGCTGGCGAACATGAAGTAGTAGGGGTTCTGCAGATAAGAACTTGAATGTGCGTAGCCGTGAGTTTGAGCTGAGAAACGGAATGTGAGGAGCAGGGTTGAGGAAGGAAGAAATCAACTAACGGACCATCACCAGACGGAAACGGGGTAGGCGTACTAGAACCTTCTCTATCCTTTTCCATCTCCTCTGATGGATCACTGTCGTCCTCTCCACTCCAAGTTTTCTCTCTCGACGTCTCCTTTGAGTCACTATCCATATTAACGTCCTCTCCATCTCCTTCATCACCGCCCCTTCTCTCTTCCCCGCCGCCGCCAGGAACAGCGGCAGCAGCACTAGGCGTCGGACTACCACTCCTTGATAGACTAGCACGAGATTTCGGTGGTCCTGAAGAGGAAGAAGCAGGGGATGTAGAATTCGAATGTCGATGCTGTCCTTGCCCTCCAAAAGGATCAATAACCCTCAACTGAACTATAGGCGGTGGATCAATCGGCCTTCTATCCGCTGAAACGAAACAAATGAACAAAAGACGGATCTGTATGACGATAAACCTTAGATACCTTTTCCGCCCACCCCACACATTCTCGCTTGTTTAGGCTCTTGTCTAACGGTAAGCTCGTATTGCCTAGATCCATAAGTCGGTAGAGGGTATGGTGGACCAGCAGGGTGTGGAGGAAGAATTGACATTGTCATCGTTAGCTTTTTCAAGCACTAATCACCATTGGGGAATGAAGGGAGGGAACAACTAGAACACTAAGATAAAAAAAAAAGACGAAAATCTGTAATCTCGACCCACAACCAAGGATTCGGGTCGTGTCATGCTGTCAACAAACTCCATCCGCTTGGTTTTCTCAGCTCTCTCATCATCATCCATCATAAACCCGAACACCCAGTAAAGAATTACACCAAAAGAAAGAGAAAAAACAAAAGAGAAGCGAAGCGAAAGAAACTCACAATCGCTTACGGTATTTAGAATCGAAAGGATGAGCCGGGAAGGGTATAGGTGGTGGTAACATATTCGTGCTACTCATCATATTTGTAGGAGTCACTGAAGACGACGGCGACGACGGCGACATATTCGTAGTCATCGTCTTGGACGATGTCGATGAAAGAAGGGAAAAAAAGTCTGAGGAATGCCGTCAGCAACGCTCAGCGGTCCAACCGCCAGTGAAAGAAACGTGCACGCCCGGGTTCGATCGTTCCACTGTTTTGGTTTCGAACTATACCCTTTTAGGTAATGGTACCGGCATTTCGGTACTAAACTTACCATTTCGTGCTTTCCTGGAATTCTCAACGGCTCAAGCTAAGCCTAAGACGTGGGACAATCACATTCGAAATCTTGCATGTGAAAATTCACATTCGCGTGGCTTTCCCGCTCGGAAGTCTCAAACGTAAAAAGTGAATGTATCTTCCATCACGGGACATTTTGAACGAAATAACACAACCGGAGAAAAGTGATTATACGCAAAAAGAAGCAAAGACTCAACCTCACGTTGCCTGTAGTAGTTTCCAAGGGTTGTTGTATACGTATACAGTTACCCACTTGATCGACCCGTTAGAAAAACGGAACAGAGACTCAATAGCCCACCGCGAGGGTCGAACTCGCAGCCTTCAGATGTTGGAGAAATACACAAGGACATAAAAGTCTGACGCTCTATCCGATTGAGCTAGGCAGGCAATAGTAGGATTCTGCACATGGTGATGAACTGTCACCCGATCTTGTTCATGGCAAGGTTCCGCGTTTTGGAAACGCGTTCAATTTCCCAGCCTCGTGATGAGAATTGATCAGCCCATGAGTTGAAACGCCTTAAGCTTTAGAGGCATCGATTCGGATCCGCCCTTAATTTTCATTCGTCACCCAAACGTCAGAAACAAAACCGTACAGAGTCTCAAGAATCCACCTCACATTCCCTGCAAATCCATAAAATCAAAATCACGCCAACGAAAAACGAACTGCAAGAAAATAATCAAAGAGAGCAGGGGGATGAGTGGATACCCCCCGAGCCCTTGGTAGGCGGTATTCCAAGAGAAGAGACGGTCGTCACCTCCCCGCTTTTTTTCAAACATGATTGGACACAATTTGGTTGGGTTCAGGGAAACATTTGCGCCCACGCGAAGCAACGAAGCTGAGGGAAATCGTTCTGCTGTTCCGTTGTCACGAAGAAACACAAGCGTTGCGGCGGTCGGTTTGTTTGTTTTTCATCCATTTTTCATTCGTCGTTCCTCGGATCGACATCCTCCATCCTTCGTTTCTCTTCTCCATCCTATGCCATTTTCCCGGGCTTCAACCGCTGACGTTCTACCTCTTTCTCAACCCTCACACGCTCTTCGTTTGCGTGGTGACTTATCATTTCCTCTCTATGCAGGTCGGCTAAAAGCAGAACCGCTCAAATCTCACAGCGTCGTCATTCTCACTCCAATGGGCACCCGAACAAACCGAATGGCAACCGCGGCTTGGAAGATCCGGAAAAGAAGATTGTGTTTCACAAGGTCCTGAGAGGGATTAGAGAAAGTTCTTGACCCGATTTCAGCTGGTCCACTTTGAATCCTTGAGCGCTATCTATCGACGTCGAGAGAAAGTTGAACTCGCCCGGCCCGGATGCAGGTTTTTGATAAGCACCTGAGCGAACATTCCGAATGACGGGAGATTTCCGCTTTTGTCGACTTGGTAAAGTACATGACCCGGACTTGGACCGTGCAGGACTCTTATTTATTCGCTGAAATTTATTCTAGGACTTCACAGGGTATAAACGACCCCCCGACTTTCATGTCGTAAGCACAATTAATTCTCTCAATTTGTCTAGTTGAAAACGTTCTATTAGCGGTTACATCCACCCCGGGCCCTTGTAATAAAATTCAAACTCCATACCATCTTTCCACTACCGAGAGATGATCCTGCTGGTTTCAAGAGAGAGCGGGTACGAAAGCAAAATCGAAAGCGGTCGGGTTTGGAACTTCGGTTGCGAATGATACCGGCAAAACATAACATGTGAAATCGAGAGAGTCGGAAGAGATAACAACGGAGAACACCTGCGGAGTCCACTTGGGTGGCGGGCGTATAATTCGTCAAGCTCTCCTGAATCACTCGTGCCCACCGAGAATTGGAGTCACTGCAAGTATCAGTATCGCCGAATTCCAATCCGAGAGCTCTCAACGCACGTGCCCGTGGCGACAGGAGTGTCCAGAGGCAGCCACTCGCCTCGTATTTCGACCACTGCCGTCAGCAAATCATGGGGACAGATGAGCTGCACAGTGGTGCGTTGGAGTAAAGGTATGTCCGGAGTCTCCGATAGCTCTATGGGATATACTGTGTCTGTTAATAGGTAAGTTCGACAGAGTTCAACTCATCGAGGGAAGCGAAAGCAACCAACTTACTGTTTTCCAATACGAATTTGTCCTTGCTGCATATTCTCTCGCAGAGATCATCGTTTCTTGGAAAATAGTCGTCGGACTAGGGTACATAAATCCAAATCAGCACAAGGTATGTCCGACTGAATTTTTCGGTACCTCGTATAAGATACTCGTTCAATGATGGTCATGCGAGAAGAAAAGTCTGTCCGAGTTGGCGAGGTAAAGGGAAGATACAAAAATGAGTCCCAGCTTGTTGATGAGCTCGCAAATCTGCCTGAATCCCTGCACCGATGTAGATGAGTTGTAACGGGACTAAATTGTGAAACTATTTTACTTTATTTGCACGGACAATTTTCGTATAAGTAGCTCTACCTACGATACTGGCTACTTATCTTTTTACCTCTTACCACCATCTAGCCTACTCTCTGGGTACAAGTATCTACCTGTGGTCTAAATAAACCCTGGTCAAGCTTACTGTGTGCCTGCGCGAGTGAGGCGTCATCTTGGTAAGATCCCACCTTACAGTTTTTTAAGCTAACAGTATTAGCCTAAGGGTTCACCAATACCCATACCCATCGTTCATACCCGCCGATATGATATCGACAACAAGGAATCGTGCAGAGTCACGCACCGATTCTGGAGCGTTAGCGATACCCACAACATCCAGTGGCACTGCCCAGAGTCATTCGACAACTCCTCTATTTACGCCCACCCCGGCGCCGTCACCCTCGGAAAAGGATGACTCTTCAAGTTCGTCGTCTGACACCACTACTCAGACGGCGATGGACAACCGCTCTACTTCTGCCGAAGTAGAATCATCATCAGTACCCGACGAGTTATTGTACCGTCAGGACAGATCATCCAGTAGCCTTAGTACTGGCAACAGCCTCTTCAATGAAAGGGATTCGTCGTCAGAACCCATCGACACCCTTTCTCGAGGCTTTCGACCGACTAACGCTCCCACGCGATCACGCATTAGGAGTATCAGTGAAACGGGCGACAGCTCGGGTGTATTGTATGACACCCCTAGTCGAAATTTTAGTACTCCTAGCAGTATCAGTTTTGACAGTAATCAAATGATACGTACTTCTGTTCGTGAGTCCAACGAACAATTGTCAAGCCCGGAAATAAATAATCCGGATCGTCGTCAGTCAAGACCACTCCCGGGGTCAACAAACCCCTTTAATACTTCACCACCATCGGGGAACCGATCCGAATCAATTATTCGATCTACCGATGACCGTTCTACATCAATTGCTCCATCGGAACAATTCAGAGCATTCTACGAAAACCTTCGAAGGATGTACATATTGCAATATGCTCGCAATCAAGACTTATCGAGACATAGTACGTCTCTGATTCCCAACCAACAAGTCATTATAGAGGAAGGAACTTGTTACTCGCCAGAATTTCCTTTGGTAAAATTGTCAGCTTACCCTCTTGCATCCGATGATTGGAAATTCATTCGTGATCAGTACCCTGAACCGTTTAGTCCCAATGACCCGGTAGTTCAGAGGCGACCAATTAATTCCAATACAGCCAGACGTGAAGGAAACGTACGGTTTGAACACCGTGATAGTACCCCTGACTTGCCAGAGGACAGCTCAATTGGTTCAAATGAATCTAGAAAGGAGTACAACGGGAGAAAAGGTACACGCCATAACTCCCCAAACAATAATTCCCATGCCCCATCGGGAGGTGGTCCTCCAGATGGTGGTCCACCCGGAGGAGGTGGTCCGCCAAGTGATGATGGGAATGATCCAGATGAAACTGATTCAGGTGAAGAAATGAATCAGTTTACAAACAGAAATAATCGGCGATCAGGAACGTCGGAACGAAGCCAAACAATTTTTGGGCAAACCCGATACTCATCGGCAGACATAACATTTTCTGAAAAGGAAACATTTGTGTATGACCCAACTCCTCTAACTGAAGCAGAGGTACTTAGAGCCGCATTCAGACAGTTTGAAGATCTGATAACCTTTCAACTATTTCCAAAAGCCTCAGATATGGCTACGTCCAATCTGAGAAAGAATGTATTACAGTCAATTCCCAAACCGGGATTCTACTATGGTGATAATAATGACTACCTAGCATTTGATATGTGGATACGCTCCATCATACGATGGTTAGCACTAGCCGGCCTCTGTGGACCGGAACTAAGATGGAGTACCTCTAGAAATACCTGGGTACTCACCTCAGTTGATATGCAGCGCACTAATGTACTAGGTACATTACTCAAGGAGGATGCTGCAACATACTTTACAGACAAAGTAGAGAGGATACCATCCTCTTTTGATCGTAACAATCCATTGCAAGGTCGGAAGACCTTTATGGAAGTGGTCAGTGGGCTGTACCAAAGGTTCATCCACGACACATCCTTAACCTATGTCACTGAACAACTTGACGACGTTCGGTATACCATTTCTGGAGGAATAAAAAATGTCTTCAGTTCCATGGTTAACTTTGCTAAATGCATGCCCAATCCTCCTGACTCGTATACATTCAAGAGGAAACTAATTTGGAAGGTCCCTCAGAGTATGAGAGACCAACTTTTGGATATTCATGGCATAACTGCAGAATCTTCAACAGTAAATGAGATTATACAAGCAATACTAGCTTGTGAGCGCAGTATGACCTCGAAAAAATATTATTCGAGGATACAGGATGACTTGAAACGCTCCAGACGCCGTCGCTCACGCTCAAGGTCTAAAGAACGCAAGAGACGTGAGCAAAGGGATAAAGGGAAACAGAAGGAACGTTCCCCATCACCACACCGGCTACAGGTTGTAGATCGCCGACGATACCAAGTGAAACCAAACTCTAGACGAGACAATGGCCGTCCCGATTGGTCTAGAAAAATGTCAAACAGTAATGACAAAGAAAAAAGAAATGAAGGAACTGAGGACAAGAAAAACACGCAGTCCTCAGGAAACCGCATGTATCGAATGATTGATAGTAAAGGAAAAGAACGGCTTTTCCAAATGATTGATGGTTCAAACTCTGAACCCGATAGCTCTACCTCAGAGCATGACCCCGTGAGTAATGAAGAAGCAATGGCCACTATGAATTCAGACTCTGAATTTGAGAACATTGATAATTGTGGTGGTTCTCAATATTCGAGTGAAGCGGACGAGCATTGTGGATTCATGCGAGAAGATTGTTCATCAATTAATGAATGATTCACATCAATGCAAGAAGCTTCGATTGACATTGAAGATCAATATTGTGAACCAACACATGATTGGGAACAAATTTCATACCTTAATTTCAATGAATACCTTTGTACTATGAAGGAAACCACGACGGGTATCAAAGCCACCTTG